TATCTATCTATCTATCTATCTATCTATCTATCTATCTATCCCCGTCCACCCCCCATCTATCTATCTATCCCCATCCACCCCCCATCTCTCTATCTATCTATCTATCCCCATCCACCCCCTATCTATCTATCTATCTATCTATCTATCTATCTATCTATCCCCATACAAACCCCTCTATCCACCCCAGTCCCCTCGGAGAGCCTAGGAGTCCTGGCTCCCAGCCCCCCTGCTTAAGGGAGAGGCCTGTCTATTAAGAACTGTCACATCCAGTGGGCTGAGAGAATTGCCTTATCGAAACACTGCCTAGTGTCAGAAGGTTAAAGATTTAGCCTGGGCGCTGAGCTTTTCTTTTCTTTGGTAACTATCTCTGACCTGTTGTGCCCACCACTTATAACCACTTAAAATCCAGCGTTCCGTCGTTAATACCCATTTTCGATTCCCCCTAACGCCGTGTGTTTGGGGGGAAGTGCTTGGGGGAATCTCAGCTCCGGTTACAAAGGCTGGCGCATTGTCCTCTCCACATTGAGGGAGGGGCGGCCTGGCCAGGCTTCTGACCTGGGCAGGACGGTGCAGCCCTGGGTGCAGGCTGGGAGCCGGGGGGATTTGACTGGGGCCTGTCTCGATGGGTTTCGGGAGTGGCTCTGGGAGCATTCATGCAATCTAGCTGGGTGTGGGGCTCCACATGCTGTTGTGCTGAGTGATCACAGCGCCTGGAGGGGTTTGCTGGTTGTCACTGGCAAAGCATTGGGGAGAGACAGCCCAGGCTGGAGAGTTAAGGGGGCCCAGCGGTACCCCAGTTCCAGGTTGTACCCCGTGGATCCTGTCACACCCTCCCAGAGCTGGGGAGAGAACCCAGGAGTCCTGTTCCCAGCCCCCCTGCTCTAACCACTAGACCAGGAGTTCTCAAACTTTTGTACCAATGATCCCTTTCACATAACACGCCTCTGAGTGCGACCCCCCCATAAATTAAAATCACTGTTTTATATATTTAACACCATTATAAATGCTGAAGGCAAAGCGGGGTTTGGAAAGGAGGCTGACAGCTCACTACCCCCCATGTAATAACCTCACGACCCCCTGAGGGGGTCCCGACCCCCAGTTTGAGAACCCCTGCGCTAGACCCCACTTCCCTCCCAGAGCCAGGCTAGAACCCAGGAGTCCTGACTTTAATTCCCACTCAAATTTGCTCTTTTAAAACACAGGAGGGTTTTTGTAACTTTAGCTAGATAAAGAGATGCTGGGTGTGTATGAAGATAGATGGAGGGGGTGGCTGGGGGTAGATAGATAAGGTGGATGGGTGGATAGAGGGGTTTGTAGAGAGATGGGTCCTGGCTCCCAGCCCACCCACCCCCCCGCTCTAACCACTAGACCCCACTCCCCTCCCGGAGCTGTTTCATGTGCCCCTCGGTGGCTAATTACAATGGGCCTCAGATAATTATAGCCGCTCTGTGCCTTGTGCCATATGCTCAATCGGCTTTGGTGGGTCAGATCTGTCAGCAAAGCGGCATTAGTGTCACGGTTGATCTGTCAGGGACGGGGACGGCTCCGTATCATGGCGGGGAGGATTGGGGGGGGCAGAAAAGAGACAGCATCACGAGTCGATGGGTTCGGGGGGACCCACAGCTCGCTGATCCCCACTTCCCGCAGGCCACTGGGTCGAAGTGTCCTGAGGAGCGAGGGAGCTAAACGCCTCTCTGGGACCCCGGGCTCCTGAGTACCAGCACTCATGTAAAGCTCTGCACCTTGTGACCCCCCCCCCCCGAGCTGGAAACAGAACCCAGGAATCCTGGCTCGCAGCCCCCACACCCCTGCTCTTACCACTAGATCCCAGCCCCCTCCCACAGCCAGGGATAGAACCCAGGCGTCCTGGCTCCCAGTCCCGCTGCTCTAACCACTAGCCCCCACTCCCCTCCCAGAGCCGGGGATAGAACCCAGGCGTCCTGGTTCCCAGTCCATCCCATTCTCTAACCTCTAGCCCCAGATCTGCCTCTGCAAGGTTCCTAGAGTCCTCTGACGCATCCAGTGCTGGCCACTGTTGGTGCCGGGATACCAGGGTAGATGGGCCTCAGGTCTGACCCAGTCTGGCTGTTTCTGTCTTCCTGTAACCCTGGCCAGAGCTTTTCACTCAGTTATGCCTGCTTCCAGCCCATATCTGATGGCTGAGCTAGAGGGGCTCTGTTAGAACGACATCTGGTCCTGATGTGAAGATAAGGTGACCTGATGAGATGAAGAAAATATCAGGACACCGGGGGGGGGGGGCAAAAAAACCCCAAAAAACTGAGTGATCCCAGTGGCGTAAAATATCAGGACAAAAATTGTGTCCCGACCAGAGATCGGTCGGGATGTGGGACAAACAGCTCAAAATCGGGACGGTCCCAATTTTATCGGGACGTCTGGTCACCCTATGTGAAGATGCCAGGTGATGGAAAAGCCACCCGTCTCCTGACGGAGGTAACGGTGCATCATGGGAGATGGAGTCCAGCTGAGGGAACGGGGCCTACGGCAGGAATGGGGACGTTAGAGACACAGAACAACAACTCCCATGAGGCACTGCAGCAGTTGAGCCAAGGGAGGAGGCCACAGTGCATCATGGGAGATGGACTCCTGCCGGAGAGCAGCCCTTAGGGAAAAATGAGGGTATCAGGGTCACTGAACTACAACTCCCATGAGGCACTGCAGCAGCTGAGCCATTTGAGGAAGCCATGGTGCATCATGGGAGATGGAGTCCAGCTGAGGGAACGGGGCCTATGGCAGGAATGGGGACGTTAGGGACACAGAACTACAACTCCCATGAGACACAGCGGCAGCCCAGATTCCCACACCAGCCACGCCCCTCTTTAGTGGGTTGACACATGCGTAGGGTGTGTGGTTTTGGGACAGGCGTGTGTGGTGGTGGAGGGGCTGGCCCCATGCGTGCGGCTGGGTTGCATGTGCTGTCACAGTGTGTATTTGTGAAGCAGTGCTGTGTGTGTCCCTCTGTCCCTGCTGCCCCCTGCTGGAGGGGATATGCCCTGGTGTGTGTGTGTGTGTGTGTGTGTATAGTGAGGGGTGTCTGGGAATTCTGTGTGGAGGGATAAATTGTATGTGTGTATAGACATTGTGGAGGGGAGTTGTGTGTATGGCTGGTGGTGGGGTTGTGTTTATAAGGAAGTTGTGTGTATGTGCATACACTGTGTGCTTGTAATTTGTTTGTGTGTGTGTGTCCCTGCCGCCCCCTGCTGGAGGGGCTGGTCCCTGCTCTGTGTGTGTGTGTCTGTAGTGGTGGGGGGGGCGCGACCCAGTCCCCATGTGGCGCTGACCGCTCAGCAGAGGAACTGGCTAATTGGCTCCTTATCATTTCATCTGCGGAGTTGAGACGCCACTTGCCAAGAGGCGGGGGTAGGGACGGGTGGGGGGGCCAGGGGACTTGGCCAGGGCCATATTAAAAAGAAAACAAAATTACTGCACTCCTGCCAGGCAGATAAGGGAGAGACGGAGCCTGGGACGGGGACAGAGAGCGAAAGAAAGAAAGAAAGAAAGAAGCAGAGAGACAGCGCGAAGGGCTGGAGCAGGGGGCAGAGGGCCGGGCAGGGAGGACGGAGGGAACATGAAAGAGGAAAAAGAAGGGAAAAATCCAAGCGCTCAAAAGGCCGGGTGTGAGGTAAGGTGGGGAAAGGACGTGAGACCCCCCTGCCCCATGGGGGCCCGGGGCAGAACCTGGCAGTGTTCAGGGTGGGCAGTGGGGGGCTGAATGCTGGAGGGTAAAGGAGAAACCGGGGGCGGTGGGGAGAGGAGCCCATTGAGGGGCCCCTGCCTGGTACATGGCCTGCGCCCCACAGCTGGGACGTCAGTCTGCACCTGCCTCACATCTGCCACGCCCAGCACATCTGGAATGGCACCTCGCCCCCCCACCCTGCCCCCCAGCTGGACCACCCTGCACACCTAGAGTGCACCGCACAGCTGGCCTGCTGCCCCATCCCCGCCCTGCCCCCCAGTTGGGACCCCCTGCACATCTGGAGTGCACCGCACAGCTGGCCTGCTTCCCCGGCCCTGCCCTGCCCGGCAGCTGGGACCCCCTGAACATCTGGAGTGCACCGCACAGCTGGCCTGCTGCCCCGGCCCCACCCTGCCCCTCTGCTGGGACCCCCTGAACATCTGGCGCGCACCGCACTGCTGGCCTGCTGCCCCAGCCCACCCGCACTCCGGCTCATATCCATGCCCCACAAGACAGGTGCCCCCCCCCACTGCCCCGCCCGACCCAACGCTTCCCGTTGGGGCTTCTAGAGCCGGGCTTTGCAGGACCCACTGGGCCCGGTTCCCCTGCCATCGCCTCCCCGGCAGGCCTCGCTGGTCCCCGGCGCCTGCCTCAGAAACCTGGCTGCCCCGTCAGCTCTGCCATGCAATGGGGCTGCGCTCGCTTTGCCAGGGGCCTTCTGACCCACACGCACCTTCCTCCCTCTCTCAGGGCCCGTAAGGGCAGACTGGGGGATTGCTGGGGTGCCCTGCACTGTGGCTAATCCCTGCCCCCCCAGGGCCCATAGGGCAGGGCGTTCTATGCCAGGGGAATATTTATTGTAGGGTCTTAAGGCAGGATTCTGGATTTAAAGGTATAGGCGTTCGTTTGTGCTATGCCGCAGGGCCACGTTACACTCTGCTCGGGGGGATGTTTTTGTAGGGTCTTCCAAGCCAATTCTTTATTTAAAGGCACAAGCCGCCTTTTGGTGCCTTGTGGCGGGCGGGGGGGGGGGGGGGGGGAGCAACGTTATTGTAGGGTCTTTGGGCAGGCATCTGGGTTTGTAACTCGGTTCCCATAATCCCAACCCCCGTCTCCCCCCGCTTCTCTCTCCCCAGATAGGAGCTTGCCCCCACCCTCCCCCACCTGCCATGTCTGCCCCCCCGGCGCCATCCGACCACGTAACAGTGAACATGGTCACGGAAGAAGTCCAGATCCAGCTGTGCCCGGACCCACATCTGGTGAGCACGACCACGGGAGGCGTGGAAGGCGCCTGCCACCGCTGCCTCCTGCCCTTCAGCGTGGTGGCGCTGCTGATCGGGGTGGCGGTGACGGCCGTGGCCTACGCCCAGGACACCCACGGCTCGGTGCTGTCAGTGCTGGGCCTGGGCCTGCTGGGTGCCGGGGCGCTGGGCCTGGCCGGGAGCTACCTGGCCTACCATTGCCGGGGCCGCAAGATCAGGGGCTGGAGACGCGGTAGCTTCACCCTGTTGGTGGGGGACCAGCTGCAGAAGGTGGTGGTGGTGTGAGAGTCCGATCCTGGCCAGCGTGGGGCTCCAGTCCGGGTTCTGCCTCCATCCCGAGTCCGATCCT